CACTGCACTGCCTGCTGGATTGAGTGCACATGATCCCGGCTGACTGCCCTACTAAGAGCACTTAGAAAGAATCAGTCACTATAAGATTATACAAAAATGAGTGATTCAGACGATAAATGTAGAAGTTGAGAGACCTGTTACGTGGCGCTAAAGAAGGTATCAAAGACTTGGTGGAGGAAGAGTACCTGAATTCCTGAGAGAAACATTTGGAAGGCAGAGAGGGTGGGAGGAAATTTAGCTTGGAGAGACAACAGGATAGAGGCTCCGAGTGCGCTTGAAAATCATCAGTTCAAGGCACCCTGACATTGCCATCCCTGGGGGGACATAGGCTTCATACTGAAGTGTTGGGTATGACCAGAATGTGTTTTCATCCATTTGTTCCACAAATATCTTTTCAGTAACTTCCACTTCCAGGCATTGTGGTGGGCGCTGGAAGTGATAAACCAAATAGAAGTTGTCCCTGCTCTCTAAGAACTTGCAGGATAGTAAATACACAAGTAAACAGGTAAACATATACAATTACAGGGTTTTTTTCTTAGACCCTGAAGGAAATGAAGAGGGTGCAGTAACAGAAAATGATGCATACAGTACTTAGATCAAGTAGGTCAGGAAGTATTCTCTGAGAAGTTGATGTTTAAGCAAAGCTGTAAAGAATGAGAAGAATGCCCTGACCGGTTTGGCTCAGTGGCTGGAGCATCGGCCTGCAGGCTGAAGGGTCCCAGGTTCGATTCCGGTCAAGGGCATGTACCTTGGTTGCGGGCACATCCCCAGTAGGGGGTGTGCAGGAGGCAGCTGATTGATGTTTCTCTCTCATCAATGTTTCTAACTCTCTATCCCTCTCCCTTCCTCTCTGTAAAAAATCAATAAAAAATATATTAAAAAAACCAAAACTATATTGTCAGCCTTGCAAAGGGGGTGGTACAAGGAAGAACAAGTCAGCCAAAGTGATGGTATATGCAAAGGTCCTGAAGCAAGAAATACCTCAATGTATTAGAGGTACAAAAAGAGGCCAAAGTGCCTGTACAGTACCGGATAAGAAGGGAGTGCACAGATAGGGAGGGATGAGCAGGATTTTATCCTGAATGTGATGTAATGGAAATGGAATGGAATGAAAGCAATTAAAGGGCTCTAAGGGCAATAGTGATAGTTTCAAATTATGTATTTAAAATATTACTCTGTTGTGTGGAGAATTGGTTGAGGGAAGGGACAAGAATAGATGTGGGGAAAGCAATAAAAAGGATATTGCAATTGTCCATGTGAAAAATTGTGATCACTGGTCTAGAGTAGAATTTACTAGAATGTAATTCAAAACAGTAGGAACTTAATCTCTTGATCACTGTTGTACCCGAGTCTACACCTGAGGTTTGTAGGGCTCAGGGCAGGGGTACAAATGGAGGCCACATACCATCTGTCTAAATATTTGAAAGTTATAAATCCAGCTAATAAACTGTTAAAGAAATGTCGATATAACTTTTTAACAACAAAAATGTAAAGGTATAGGTGGAGCTATGATTTTTATATGACTGAAAATTGGCAAAATATCAGAGACAACTGAATTTAATTATTATTGTACATATTCTATTACTTATTAGGCTTATGGTATTTGGAAGAATATTTTTAAAAAAACAGAAATAATTTATAAATTACTAACAAGTTTTCCAAATAAGTTGTTTTTCTGTTAATCTTCATTTCAGTAAAATAATTAGTGTTACAGTCAACTTTTTGTAAGCATAGTTTGCCTCTATAGACAGGAGTGATCTAAGGCCTGGGGTCACATCTATCTGCAGTTCCTCTTGTCCTGTAAGGGCAGAGGTGAGAGGGGCAGCAGCGATGTTGACTCTCTGGTCCTATACAGGAAAAGTTTGCTGACTCCTGGTCGAGAGAATTAAAAATTAACCTGCATTTGTATTCACAGTGTGTAAAATTTGAATATATTTTCATTAAGCATTTAAATGAATTATAAAATTGGGAAAGTTAAAATTATTTTTTGAATGTTTTTAAAAAAGTTATATTTTAATAAAAATTCAAAATGATTTATTAGAATTAAAAGTCAAAATGTAGAATATGTTAACCAATATAAAATCTTTAAGTCAATTAAATTGCTGGATTTAATTTTTTCATTTTTTGACATTTTAATTAAATCTTACTAAATACTTTTATGAAGATAAAACGATTTCCAATTTTGTGTTCAAATGTTTATATATTTGCCAATGTAAAGAATTGATACCTGGTTTTATGCAAGTCATGTTGCCACCTACATGTATTCAGACTTGAGGAGAGTGTGTTATTTAATATTGCAAAATGTGCCCAAGCTATTAGGTGCATCAGTTGCGAATGCTGCTGGAATTTGTGAGACCTCCAAAACTATGAAGTGGTGCCAGAAAGTTCTGTGAAAGGAAATAGATGTGCAGATCTAGGAACTGAGTTCCTTAGGCAAGAGTCTGTTGCACTCATGCTGTTGGGGAGGAAGGATCTGACATTAATTTGTCCATCTCTCACCCAAGCTTGCGCTGCCCTCATCACACAATAATGTGCACCTTTGTTGTCTACATTTTTGCAGTTGCACAATCCACAACTCATAACCCTTGCTGACATTCAGACTTGGCCTGAGTGAAAGGTAGAGGAGGTTTCCCAGGGTGTGGGTGGCATTAGGCACAAGAATAGAAGTTACTGGCTGTGTTGTACAGAAGCCACCAAATCCTGAGTGACAGAGGCCCGGATATGTTTTCTGATCATTTTCGGTGGGGATATGTTTGTGACATGGAGGCCCCTCTAAAGTGTGGAATTCAGGATATACAGTATAGAATGATACAGTAATGTAACACAATGTGCAGACTATAGAAATGCAAGGAGAAATAAACAGAAACATGATGGATTTTAACATCTGAATCTATGGAAATCAAATAGATAAATATAATCTGAACAAATAATTGATAAAGATGAACTAGATGATAATATTTAAATTTAAACCCTGATGATAGAGAATATATCTTTTTATGGGCCTTTGGAAAATTTGCGATACATGTCCTTAATAGGCTACAAAGAAATTGCAGGAAATTTTAAAAGGTTGAAACAGCAAAGTCCTTATCACCTGATTGCAATGCAGTAAAGTAAAACTCATTATCAAATTTTACAATCTGGACATTTTAAAATGCTTTGACAAACAACTCTTAATTTAAAGAAACATTCGAAACACAACTCTAAAAAAAATCTAGATGCCATTGATAATGAAAATATAACATATAAACTTATGCACTATAGCTAAAGCTGTGCTTAGCAGAAAAAGTATAGCCTTACACCCAAATAACTAACAAAAAAGTACAAAAATAAACTGTTTCAGTCCACTTGGGCTGCTGTAACAGAATACCAGTCTGGGTGGCATAAACAACAGACATTTATTTCTCACAGTTCTGGAGCTGGCAAGTCCAAAATAACAGTGCCAGCAGATTCAACCTCTGGTGAGGGCCTGCCCCTGGTTCATAGAGGTGATCTTGCAGCGTCCTCACATGGAGGAAGGCGTGAGGGAGCTCTGGGGTCTCCTAGGAGGATACTAACCCCACTCCGGAGGCTCCACTCTCATGAAGTTCCCACCTCAAAGTACCACCATCACTTTGGGGATTAGGTTTCAACATATGGATTTGGGAAGAACATAAGCTTTTAGTCCATAACTTAAAGGAATTAACATCTGATTTAAAAGAATAGCACAATATGTGGAAGGAATGCAGAAAGAACCAAATAAAGTAAAAAATTACGTTTTCTGCCATGACCAGGTAGGTTAGTTGGTTGGAGCATAGTCCCATATACCAAAAGGTTTTGGGTTTGATTCCTGGTCAAGGCACATACCTAGGTTGCGGGTTCAATCCGTTTCTCTCCCCCCGCCCCTTCTTCTCTCTCTAGTAATCAATAAAAACACACTATGCGGGTTTAATCCGTTTCTCCCCCCCCCCTTCTTCTCTCTCTAGTAATCAATAAAAACACACTCTGGGTGAGGATTAAAATTTTTTTTTCTTATTTCAAAACAAATCCAGTAAGTATCATGAATAATCCCCAGTGCTGTTTCCCTGAAAACAGTGCTACACAGTGAACTAATCCATTCACTACTCTAATTAAGGAAATGGTAGGGGAGCACAGAAACACAAAATTAAGAGTGAAAATGGGGGAAGGAACCATGGCTAAGGAAGAAATGAAAAGAATCAAGGGAGAACCTTTGCAAAATGTTTGGCATACAACTTTTTAAAAATCTTGCTGGAATGAATTTTTCACAGGTAAAAAGTTACCCAATCTTACCAAAGAGAAATGAGAACAACTTTAATATTATTGAAAAAAATCTAAGAGATTATCAAGGATCTGAAAAAGCCCCAGGCCTTTATGCTTTCAGAAGCAAATGATTTTGAACTTTTAAGGAACAGGTAATGATAATACTATTTAAAAGGAAAACTGATATGATTAATTTTATATCTGCAAAATGGAATACCGTGCAGTTAGCTAAGATGCAGAGGTTCTGTATGTGGCTATGGAACAATCTCCAAAGTTATTAGAGGGGCAAAGGCAAGATACAGGGCAGAGCACTGTCTCTGTTATGCCACCATTTGAATTGTGTGTGTGTGTGTGTGTGTGTGTGTGTGTACAGGTGTAATATCTGTAAAGGAATGTAAAAGCAACAGATAACAATAATTGGCTCTGAGGAAGAAACTGTGTAGCTGGAAGACAGGCAGGAGGCAGGGGCGTTAAAATGTATGCCTTTTTAAATATGATAATGTATACATATACTACAGGGTCAAAGAATTATAAAAAATGAAATTACCCCTAGCGCAAACAAAGAAGGAAAACTGCTGATGTGTTTTTGTGAAGCAAACATCACACAGATATCAAAGTCTGACAATGACATCACAAAATAGAAAACTGTAAATCAATTTCATTTATGGGCTCATCATGCAAACACATTAAAAGTTAGTAAACCACAGACTGGGTGGCTTAAACAACAAAAATTATTTTCTCACAATTCTGTAGGCTAGATGTCCAAGGTCAAGGAGATCACAGTTTCTTCTGAAGCCTCTCTCGTTGGCTTGTAGATGGCTGTCCGCACTGTCTTCACGTGATCTCTCCGCTGTACATGTCTGTGTCTGAATTCTCTTCTGGTAAGGATACGAGTCATTGGGTTAGGGTCCACCTGAATGACCTCAACTCAATCACCCTTTTAAAGACTTGATCTCCAAATATAGTCCTACTCTGAGGTATTGGGGGTTAGGACTTAAACATAGGGATTCTAGGCAAGGATAGGGGCACAACACACTTTATCCCATAACATCAGGCATCACTTCCCACTGTCCTCCTAACAAAATGAGGACTTACTCATGTCCTGCTCAATTTCCTACATTACAGACACACACACAAAAGAAAAAAATTAAGCCCTCTGCTAAGTTATCGGTCATTCTTATTTCTTTCCTAAATTTTTTCAACCCTTTTAAGTTTTTATTTTGCCTTCCCCAAGCCAAGATCGCCTCTGTGAGCAGGCCCTTTGGAGAAGAGCTGCAGCAACAAGGTGTTTGCCTGCACTCATCCTTAAAGGGTCTTTGTCCACCCCCCCCACCCACCTCCCATCTTTTCCAGGCCCAGTAACTTCCTCAGCCGCCAAAGATCTTCCATAACATTCACAAAGATTTAAAACCACAGACTGGAATATATGCCCGGGTGGTGTTAAAATGAGGGTGGTCCTCTTTTACTACTGCGGACTCAGGGCACTCATGATCTGATGGGTGTTTGCAGGTCTTGGAACAGCAATAAGTTAGCAGAAGCTTCAGTACCTAACACAGCAAAGGCCATTGTCCTGAAAGTAAAGAATGGATGTCACCGGTTTAAGCAGAGCTCAAGCCTGGCTGGGGGGCGTGGCGAGGGGTTTGGTTTCTGAAATGGAAAACAGGAGACTGTTTTTCTTTTTCATTACCTCGGTACGTGATAGAAGCCAAAAGGTGGAAGAAAAGTATGAAAAGCTGCTTTTTTTATACCTGACCTTCGGATAGCCTATATGTTTTAGGGACAGATAACTTTCTAATGAGACTTTTTATAATAAAACCTTCATTGCTTCGAAAAAATGCTAACTTCTCTAGTTCTCCCAGGTGGATCAAACAGACCCTGCAGTTATAGTTACAATATCTTAAAGATTTAGCCTCAGTCATAATGGGCAGGAGCATTTGCATTCCACAGGCCAAATTATTTGAAATGCTAAAAAGTCAGTAAATGTAATCATGATATTATTAAAATAATATTAGCTTCCATCCTCACCTTTATTTTTAAAAATCAACAGGGGATCCATGGCAGGGAGATGTGAGCCATTTGTTGCTTTGTTGTAGTGGCAGGTGCCAGAGGTCCTCCAAGACCCCCTCAGTACCATTCACCATTTCTGTGAGCCCCACCCCAGCTTTGCTTCCAATGGCTGCACCTTTGCAGGAACACCTGGAGTCACACTCAACCAGCCTGGTGAGCCTGCTGCTAGCGAGAAGTGCACCCTTAGCCAGTGATTGACTGGTGAGTGGTGTGAAAGCCCAGGTCCCTTGCCCATGAGGGGTCACTACCTTCAGAGAACTGCACCCCAATCCTACCCTCGCATGGCTTCCTGCCTTCTCCAGTCCCTTTTGCCACTCCCTCAGCAGTTTCTCTTAGGAGCCCTTCCTTACTAACTCACTTAATAAATTATGACTCCTCTTCTTAGCATCTGAGCTGAGACCTAAGACATTTGTGCTCTGCTTTGAATTTATAGGTTTAAAAAAATCTCTAAATATCATTTGTACATATGTGTACCTATGTAAATAAAACGAAAAATACACAGTAGAATACATGGGAAAAAACTACATCGAGACAGCAAGAAAATGAGGACTGCTTCCTTCCACTGGGCCTTCCTGGATCTCCAGACACCAGAAATTTTAGTTTTGTAAAACCTGACTTCGTCTTGGCTTCTCTAGTTGTAGTATTAGGACACCTGCTCACCAGCTTCAGCACCACCATTCGTTTTCCCGCACCTACCTCAAGCCCACTGTTCAGATGCTGATCGCTAATGTATTATGCAGGTTGCTAACAACTTCTAGGTCTCATCTTGGTAAAACACAAGCTGTCAATTCTCTGTGAAAAAAAAGGTATTATTGAAGGATTGTCTCAAAATGGAATTGCTAATGGCTGTAAAAAACTGCCTCCTTTAAGAGGTCCTTCGTAGTGAGTCTCAGTGGGCACGTGAATTACTGAAAAGCACTTTGATCGTGGATTGCACTGGTGCCTTTGAGTCCAGAGCTGTTGTCAAATAAAGCATGTCGTCAGGGTGCAGCACCTTTGCATTTTTAATCATGTTTGATCTCCCCGACTCTCATCTGCAACAGGTCCGCGGCCACCAGTGTGAGCCCGCAAGGCTGTGCTGCAAATGTTTATGCTCCTCAGGCGCTTTATTTATTCTGGTAATTGTCGAAGCATTTATAATCCTCCTGTCTTTATCCTGAGTGTGTGCCTGCATTTAGAACCGTAAATTTCTCTGGAGTTGAGTGACTGTCGACAACATGGTTTTAACTGTAACATACTGTGTGTGTGTGTGTGTACACACATCTATATACATGGATATATATTTCACACCCACCAGCAGTAATTTATAGCATAGCTTAACACATATAGGCTTGAAAAAAATCCCGGCGCCTGTCATAAAGAGCCGAGTGTTTTCTCTTTGGTGTAGGGCTGGTTATTCAGGGAGAAACTCATCCAAGGTGTTTACTTCTGAAGTAGCCACCTGACCAGAAGCTGCTGCCTCTGCTGTCGGGACTTTCCCAGCAGCCCCTGGGAGAGGCCATTCAACCTTCGGGCCACGGGCCACTGGGCCTTTGTTTGGAGCCAGCTGCCATCTGCAGGATCCTGGGTCCTGAGTCCTTTGTGAGGACTGATGGGGAGAAACCGATTTTGAGAAGAGGCATGCGTGCAATTGAAGATAAGAGGGACACAGCACTTACTTCCAGCTTCTGTTCCTTTTTAGATGCCTTTCATATGGACACTGCCCATCGCTGATGTCTGACTGTTCGCATGCACTGCATTTTCTCTTCTTTTCTCTTCTTTTCTTTTCTCTTCTTTCCTTTTCTTTTCTTTTCTTTTCTTTTCTTTTCGTTTCTCTTCTTTTCTTTTCTATTGCACTGCATTTTCTAAAAGAGACAAAGATTTAGGAAAGCGAGACTTAGCTGAGCACTGGAATGTTCTCATTTGTGTTTGCCCTGGATTCATTCAGGGTTGCCAGTCTGTTGATACTCGACAGAAGACCTGAAGTCTGTCTTCAGCTCATTAAGTTGGGTACTGGGTCCACGGACATTTTCTGTTGTATTTGTGTAAGTGTTCGTTTTATCTGTCCTGTAGGATTATAAGCTTCTTGGGGGCTGGACCCTGCTTTGCATTGCTCTTGTACCTCCAAACTATGTTGCAAATCCTAGTGAAGCCCCGAGTGTCTAGCCGATGGGACTTAGCCACAGGCTGTGATAATGGTCAGGTGCAGAGATGAGTTAATGTTTATTTATTCAGTAGCTCAGAGTATTAACGTACGGGATTGTTAGCTAAGTATTTTGTTGGCTGATGTCACTTGTCTTCATGCCTTTTTAAAAACTTTAGCTGAGGAACCCTTTCTCTAATGGATTCCAGTGTGGAAAACAATTTGTTCAACAGGTGAAAAGGGAGTTGCCCCCTTGAAACAGGATGGAGCCCTCGTTGGAGCAGCCTCCTGTTCATTGCTCCCCCCTCTCCTGCTCCCTTTCCCCAAACATCCCCAAGCCAAGTGCTCAGTGAATCATTTCCCAGGGCCAATAGGGCTCCTCTGAGTATAGTCTGTAAGCCATTTATCTAAGGAAGGTGTCTTTGAGGGGTATTATTACATTAGGCTTACCAATTTAAAAAACAGACTTTAATTCCTAGAGCAGCTTTAGGTTTACAGTAAAACACTTTCCACGTACTCCCTACCCCTGCCCACACCGTCCCTTTTATTAACACCTAGCATTGGTGCATTTGTTATTATTGATGGTATGGTTGTCATAGTTACTATCAGAATTTCTACAGAACCATTTACTGAGACTTTTGCTTTCTATTTTCATTGGTGAACTATTTGTTACAGTTTAGTTAACATTATTGTTAACTGAAGCCCCTGCTTTATATTAGTATTGCTCTGTTGCATAGTAGCAGGTGTTTGGACAAATGCATAGTGTCACGTATCTACCATTATAGAATCGCAAAGAATAGTTTCACTGTCCTAAAAATGCCCTGTGCTCCACCTGTTCAGCCTGGGGTCCAACATTTTTAAGGTACACTGGTGTTCATAAGAGGGTGGTGGTTTTACCCCTTCATCACAGTTGGAAAAAAAACTCTAGATTTATACTCCAAAGAGGCCAATTGGGATTAGAGGTTGTGATCATGAACCCCTCTGATAACTCCCAGACCACCTTCAGCTTTTGTGTTTTGGAAGAGCAATAATTTATCAGTGAAGCTAAATACCAAAGTAAATTTCACTGGAAAGATGCCAGGTTTATTTAGAGTGTGTTGTGATAATATCTAGAATAATAAAAGCATAATATGCTAATTAGACTGGACGACCTTCAGGACGAAGCCGGGGCTGCGTGGGAAGCCCGGGTCCCGGGTGCCAGAGGGAAGCTGGTGCCGGCAGCCGGGGGAAGGAAGGTCTACTCTTGCACGAATTTCGTGCATTGGGCCTCTAGTGTATAATATGTGGGCAAAGGTTAATTTTGATTATTTTCATGTCCAGATTCTAGACCCGGTCCTTCCAAATACTCATTTTGAAAATAGGTTTTTTCTTATTCTCTTTGACTTTGGTGCATTACTAATTAAATACACAGTTTTTAGAGCAACACTGACAGTGAATACAAAATATTAATAAACCAACAAGACAAGTGGTTTTTAAAAATCACATTATCTATACTTAATACTATCTGACCTTTTCTGCAGTTACTTAAATCTTTTAAAAATTCATTTAATTTCAAAGCCAAAGTATTAGCTTATTTATATGTAAATTATCTTTAATTCATGCATTGATTTAAAAGACTAATCCAAAAGATCTTTTACCACAAGTGACCTTTTTGACTCTACACTTCTGGGAAAACAGTGAAGTGGTGTCTTGGTGCCCTCACATCTACCTACAACATGTGCCAACTCTGGTCTGTGTAAATCACTCAAAATTGCACAGGTTTCAAATGGCATTGAATTATTGATGGTATAGTTGTGATAGTTACTATCAGAACTTCTACAGAACCATTTACTGGGTTTTTTACTTTCTATTTTCATTCCCAATAAACATGTCTAATTAGAAGCTTTACTAAGAAATATTTTCTGTTATTCAGGGATCAGCCAGGTGCTCAATAGCTACTGCCTACAAAGAGTTTAGATGTCAAAGAAGCTTAAATTCACATACTGCTCCCACACAATGGAACGGCTACCATCAATATTCTTGTGTGTATATGTATATGTATTTTACTTAGCTTTTCGGTTTTTTGCCTGTGTTAATTCACTTAGGGCCCATCTTAAGTCAGTGCTTCATAGCAAGTTACCTTTTTTCTGGAGATACGTGTAATTTGGAATTGTCTAATGTTTGCTATTAGTGGGTAAAATGCAAGTAATTTAAATTTTAATCATTGTAAAGCATTTGAAATAATATTCAATGTGCCATATATTGGGGTGACCCTCAGCCCAGCCTGCACAGTCTCCAATCTGGGACCCCTCGGGGGATGTCCGACTGCCGGTTTAGGCTCGTGGGATTGGGCCTAAATCGGCAGTTGGACATTCCTCTTACAATCCAGGACTGCTGGCTCCCAACCGCTCGCCTGCCTGCCTGCCTGATTGCCCCTAACCACTTCTGCCTGCCAGCCTAATCACCCCTTAACCACTCCCCTGCCAGCCTGATCAACGCCTAACTGCTCCCCTGCTGGCCTGATTGCCCACAAATGCCCTCCGCTGCTGGCCATCTTGTGGCTGTGGGTGCTGCCATCTATGAGGGTGGGGCAGTCAATTAGCATATTCCCTTCTTATTGGCTGTGGGCACCACCATCTTTGAGGGTGGGGCAGTCAATCAGCATATTCCCTCCTTATTGGCTGTGGGTGTCACCATCTTTGAGACAGCTTGAGGGTCAGTTAGCATATTCCCTCTTTATTAGAAAGGATTCTAGTCTCTATCTCTCTTGATATTAACGTCTCTATCTGCCAGATTTTTATCTGGGGTACATGATAGGAAGCCATACATGCCCATAATCATATGCAAATGTATGTATTTGTGTGAAGTGTCACATCATTGAACAACTCTTTGGGGTCAGAGCGTTCCCTTAGACTATAATGTGAATACCAACACCCCACCCCTACCCTGGACTTGTGTGCACATAGGGACCAAGATATGTGCATACCTCCCCTCACACTGCCCCTCATCCCCCACCCCCCGAATCCATGTCTTTTCAGATTTTAAAATAAGTTTGATGACTCTAAAGTGGTTAAGAACTACTAAACATATATACATATGCATATACACATAAACTGAATAAATATGCACATATATGTTCAATATATATGCCGTTGGTTCTCAATTCTCATGGTAGTATATTCTATAAAGTTGCCATAAACATGGACTTAGCCAGTACCAAACCGTTGCTCTTGGGGAAACACAGTGTTCCTTTCCTGGGAGCCTCTGGTCATAACATTTCCATTAATTGAGCAATATATAACTTTGTTATAAAGACACCTTACATATATTGTTGATTCATTAACACTGAACTCGTGGCCAGCACTGTAGCTGGTGCCTGAAGGAGGCTGATCGGACCCTGGTGTTTTCTCCTGAAGGCACCGGAGCTTCCCTGTGCTTGGAAGCATCAGGTAGCACTTCAGTGCTGCACCCAGGGCCGTTCACACAGCAGAATCCCACCAGAAAGCACCAGAGATGGGGAAAACATGGCGCTAAATAGACCACAGAAAAGACACTGTTTACAATATGAGAACTGGGACAGGAAGCTGAGTGTCACCTTTTTTGATCTCAGTCGAGAATGTCTGTGTCCAGCTACAATTTTTTTACGATTGCACATGTTCACAATGGCTGCAAAGTGCCACGAATGTTGATT